TTATTGTGCAAATAATTGGCGCGGGGCTGTCTACGCTCGTCACGCTTGCTCACCGAACGGAGCCTCGATGGTCGAATATCGAATATTTGCAACAATGAATCGCGGGACTCCATAATTAACCCCTTAAACTGCGATTTAATTTTATTTTTCCAAACGTGTACTGTTTAATTTTGTTTAAATGGTCATCGAGAAAGAATAGATTTGTTTTAAATGCGTTGATTTTAATATGCAGAGTGTTCACTCCTGGGGGAAATTTTAATGGGAGATTTTAGAGGCCAAAATAAGACGAAAATCAAGAATATTAATTTGTTCATAGTGGCTTCGTTAGGAAGTTATTAATGTTTGAAGTTCCGCCAGTTATGAATTTTTTTCTCGAAAATGCGCAGGATTTCGGGGATATGTCTATTCACCAAAAATGATTGCAATTCACCCCTGCAATCAAAAATATTTTTTTTAGAACGATTTGAAATTTTTTAATTTTGTTGGAAAATTTGCCCCCTAGTCGAATTTTTTTCTCGAATATGAGTAGGATTTTGGGGGTATGCCTGTTGACCAAAAATGAGTGTAATTCACTCCCCTAGCAAAAAATAATTTTTTTAGAACGATTTAAAAGTTTTTGTTTTCACCGAAAAAAGGAACCCCCTGTCGATTTCTCTTAAAAACTCGTTTTTCATTTTTAATAACTTTGTTTGACGTTCTATGGAAATTTTGTTTAATAGTTTTTTATAGGTACTCATGAGCTCTAGTTCCCCCCAAAATTTCAATGCAATATATTCACTATTGTAGGAGTTATGGCTGTTTGAACATTGGACCATTTTTATGGGCTCTCCCTCATTTTGCGATGTCAAGGATCAACTTTTTGATCATTTTTACAATTTGTACATATTCTCCACTAAAATACGCGTAGTTTGCATTTTGAAACATTAAAATCGTCCAATCCGTTCTGGAGTTATGGCATTTTAAAGATTCACATGAAATTTCAGGGAAGCATTTATGGCCTTGTATTAGATTTTTGCTAAGAAATTTTTTTTCTCGAAAATGCGTAGGATTTCGAGGGTATGTGTATTCACCAAAAATTATTGTAATTGACCCTTGCAACCAAAAATAATTTTTTTAGAGCGATTTGGTAAATTTTTTTTTCACCAAAAAATTTCATCAAATACTCGAATTTTTTTCTCGAAAGTGGGTAGGATTTTGAGGGTATGTCTGTTGACAAAAAATTATTATAATTGACCCTTGCAACCAAGAATAATTTTTCCAGAACAATTTGAAATTATTTAATTTAATTTTTTAATAACAAAGTCTCAGTGAAGAAATCGATATTCTTAATTTCCGTTTTACTTTAACCTCCAGAATCTCCCACTAAAATTCCTCCCGGAGATAACCAAACACCCCGTATAAGACCTGATGGCCACATCTTCACGATTACAAAGCCTAACATCAAGAACCTGCGAGGGGTCAACGAGTTCTATCCATCAGATATCTATATTCTCGTTCGAAAGTCGCGTCCGTTTTGCCGAAAACGTGGAAATCGCGTGATATTCCACGGACGATACGGGGGTCTTCTCGAATGCAGGCAACGTTCGTGGAATAAATTTAGGTGGTACTCGAGCGGAAAGCTGATCTACCGGCCCCGAACGACCAGTTGCGAAACTTCTTTGAGCATCGTCGCGAGTTTTATTCAGGCCCGCGCGGTACCGGTTCTCGAACTTTAAATAAAACGCAATTTCTCGAATACTAGACGAGCACGGATCACGGTTGCGACACCGCCGTTACCGTCGGATGCACGGGGCAGATCCCCCCGGAACGCGTCCACGGGGCACCGTCAATGGACAGCCGCATAGTTCGCGGCCACTTTTATCGCCTCGTTGCCCATACGCGGCGATAATCGCGCCGGAGCTCGCAATTACCTTCGACGGGTTGCGACAGATCAAGATAGACTCGCAATAATACACGGGGCCCCCTATCTGCACGCCTAATCGCCGCCTCGAGCGCGTAAATCGCGTTTCCCGAACCCTGGACGCGTTATTGACTTCTCGAAAATCCCCGCTTGGAACGGGCAGAACCGTCAGAAAAACGGCCCTCTCCCGGATTACGAATCTCCAAGATGCTCGGCAGATAGCGAAAGAATATTCGAGCACCCCAATGGGGGCCCCCATTAGGATCCAGAGGTAGTTGGGCCAGTCCTCTCTCTCTCTCGATGGATTCATGGTAGAGGAGGCGGGGGATGGCCGGCCGGTCAAGCCACATTCCGTTGGCCAACCGGCTCCTTGGAACGAACCCTTCCTCCCCCTCTTTGGCGGACTCTCTACACACAAGCTCTCGCCTCCTCGTGAACCACTACGATATGTGCCCACCGAGACCGCCAATATTATTTCGACTAGACGCCTGCATCCTTGTCCAGGGTATCCACCATCTTCGATCAATTTTATTCCTCTCTTGATCGGAAACTCTGCCAGGGGGACAAGAGTACCCGCTGTCATCCTCCATTGTTTACCCAATGATACGAGCGAATGGTAACGCAGGATCGCAAGGGGAGTATCGGAGGCGAATAGTCCCGGGGTCGAGGGCCTGTGGAAGGTTCGAGAGAGCTCGCCCACGTAGGGCGCGGTAAAAGTTAGGTTCGAATCTGCCCTCCGCCTCCGCTATTATCCACCTCGGGCAGCCTCCCCCACTTGCGGTGACTCCTTAACTTCTCCTTCGTCTTCTTCATCTTCCTCCTCCCGTTCTGGCCGCCGCCACCCGCGATCTCTGCCTTCTCCCCCCTGGCCCCCGGCGTCCCTTCGTCCCTTCGACGCGACGGTGTCCCGACGGGGCCCAGGAATGCACGGGTTACCGCGGTGGTTGGTCGGTTAGGTTAGCCGAGGGATCGCCGAGGGGGAGACTCTCGAGAGCGGTGATCCTGTGCGGGGGAGGGGGCGCAAGAGGGTGTCGACGGCGGACCCAGGAGGCGAGGGGGCTTCCTCGGACCCGGTGGGCCCCGGGGGACCGGCGGGGGAGGGGGGAAGAGAGAGGGATGAGAAGTGACCGGATGGCCTTGGTCCCAAGACTCGGTTAGTTACCGCGCGGCCGACTATAACTGGTCGGGCTCCGTAACACAGGGCGGTGTATCTCCGATTTCGACCGCTTTTTAAGACGACCGGGCCCCACGACACCGCGCCTACCATACCTCGGGACGGTCGGGAGGGACTATATAACTTCGAAAACCGCGATGGCCAACGGGCTAAGAGTTGGACGACGCTACGTTTGACCCCGGGACTCGACCGGACCGTAGATTTCGAAAAGCTCATTCACCGATCCTCGAACGAGTCTGAGCGTGATGCTGACTGTTCCTAGGTCGCTGGTGAGATTGTTCGAGGTTTTCCTTTTGATGGAGGTTTCTTGATGCTTTGGAACGATGATAAGATATGTTTTGAGAATGTTTCCAGGTGTAATTAGTTGGTAGATGATGAAGTAATGAAGTTAGAGATGAGGAATTATATTGGGAATATCGAGAAAGTAGAGAAAATAGCAAGTGATGGCTACGCCAATGCGTGGGGGCAGTTTTCTCTGTTTTCAGGGTATAGAAAGAAGAAGATATAGTTGAGAACAGCAAAGCAAATATGACGCATACTTGAATTGCTGTTTTTTTCATCATCTTCTTATCAATTACTAGAGGAAACTATGAACAGCCTGTAGAAAACATTTGAATATCAAGAAGATCGAGAAAACAGCAAATGATGACTACGCCAATGCGTAAGGGAATTTTTCTCTGTTTACAGGCTATACAAAAAAAATTAAATTATGTGTAGTTAAAAACGACACATTGAACAATTGAAATTATCCCTTAAAAGCAACTCGAAACTATATACAGTAAAATTCGGATTATTTACATATTATATTTTCGGTTAAGAATTTTTTTCTTGAGAATGCGTAGGATTTCAGGGCTATGTGTTTTCACCAAAAATTATTGTAATTGACCCCTGTAACTAACAATAATTTTTTCGGAATGATTTGTAATTTTTTAATTTTGACGAAAAATTTAGGCACCTACTCGAATTTTTTTCTCGAATGTGGGTAAGATTTTGGGGGTATGTCTGTTGACCAAAAATGAGTGTAATTCGCTCCCTCTGCTAACTATAATTTTTTTAGAACGATTTAAAGTTTTTTATTTTCGACGAAATATTTAGGCATCTTCTCGAATTTTTTTCTCGAAAGTACGTGAGATTTCGAGGAAAAGTCTATTCACCAAAAATTATTGTAATTCACCCCTGCACCCAAAAATAATTTTTCCATAACGATTAAAAATTCTTGAATCTCACCAAAAAATTTCCCAAAATTGTGCTACCATCGTTCGCAATTTCTCAAAGATCGTATCAACCACGTCACAACCGCTATAAATTCCAGGAACGAAACCGAACGATGCCCAATTATGCGTTTTACAAGGTCCAACCTCGTCCCATCGATGATCCCTTTTTACCCGGTACTTTTTCCTCCTCGTTCCCGTCGGTTTCACGTAAATTGATTTACACGCGTTGGGCAAAAGTCGCGAAACCTCGCCGGAGGATTCCTCCGCGAGGTTCCCCGTCCGCCGCGAGAACGAATGGCCTGGTTATTTAGCCCGGCATTGCTTCGTTATTGCACAACAGGGGCAAACTCGCGGGTGCCTGTTCAAGAAAGTATATCTGTGACTCGCAGAAAACTATATGGTAGCGCTTCACTAAGCGCGTACAGATCCGCGGAGCTAATAATTATCCATCGTGAGTTTGCGAAACGTCTCGTTCGCTCGTACCGTGAGCCCCATCGCGCGATGCACAGAGCCATTCTTTACGAACGAACGCTTTCGAATTCGTAGGTCAAGAAGCCTGTCGTAAGGTTGGACGACTCTTGTTACCTTTCACGCGAAGCCGGAAACGGGTGTTCGACGTTGACTTTCGGTTTTCGTAAGCGTTCCTCGCGATCGTCCAAGCAACCAACTACATACTTTGCTGGCAGTTTATTTACTCGATGTTCGGTGGGCATTAAATTCTTATGTGAAAAGTGGCCAGGAAATCGGAGGCCCTGGTGATGACGTGCTCGAACTCCAGATAGGACAGCACACCGTCACCGTCGATGTCGTTCTCGTCCAAGACCTTCTGGCAGACGGTGGTCACCTCGTCGGCGTTCAGGCCGCCTTGAACTAGCTGTCGACAGGTGTGTTCCAAGTCGCTCAGCCCCAACACCCCATCCTCGTCGAAGTCTAGCCACAGAAAGAAGCGGAAATGCGATCTCAATTAATATAAAATCGATGGTAGAAATGTTTTCTCGAGCAACGTGTCTAGACCACGAAGCTCTCCCACGATCCGCCCGTCTGGTTCACGTGGTGGTCCGTACCGTAAATCTTGAAGGCGTAAAAGACCTTCAAGTCCCGCGGCGCCTGTTCCGAAAAAACCGACATCATCTCGAGGAACTCCTCGAAGCAGATCCCCTCGTTCTCAGCCATCGACTGTCCCGAATTCGCGCGCCTCGCGAACACCTCCGACATCCGTTGCCTGAACGGATTCTCCTGAAAACACGCGCTTACAATGTCGAGAAACGCGTCGGGGATCGACTGGCGAACCTTCAGTTCCGGTATACGGGTCAGACACGACAATGGCAGACGGAGAGTCGACGCTTGCTGGGACGTCATGGACCGGGGAACCACCCCTGGATCTCCCATTTCACGGAAACGTTTAAATATTCTGTAAATATGCAGAGTGTTCCACCAACCGTGGGAAAAATTTTAATGGGGGGTTCTCCAGGTCAAAATACGTCGAAAATCAAGAATAGTAATTTCTCGATTGAGGCTTCGTTAAAGAGTTATTAACAGTTGCACCTCTACGCAAGATGCCTAACTGCGCAAGTTGCCTATCTACAGGCGCAACTGTGAATAACTCTTCAACGAAGCCTCAATCGACAAATTACTATTCTTTCTTTTAGCCTTATTTTGACCTGGAGAATCTCCCATTAAAATTTTTCAACGTGTATATACTAAAAATGTGATAAATATTTTCCCAATTAATACATCTTACTGAAATTTTTAGGCTTCATAAATAGTAAAACTTTTCTACACTTTGATATAATAAAATTCCTTCAACATGGCCTCTATTTGCCCTCTAGAATCCCCACCAGGGGACGAACACCCTGTATACCACGCGAAATTGTCAAAGAATCCGCGTAAATACCTCAAGATTTCTTTACGCGTGAAAAAGGTACAATCCTGATAGTCCTCCAGTTGTTCCTCGGTGAACGTGGCTATCTTATTCCCCATTTCGATGTTTCGTTCACCACTCGAGCCTAGCAACTGAGCTTTCGCACCCCCGATGCTCGATACGAGATCTAATAACCAGGGTGTGTCCGACCGCTCCCAGTTTTAGGAACGCCCCAGGGTCGGGAATTCACGATAAAACTGATCCGTTCAAAATAGGAACAGGGAATCAAAACAACACGTCTCTTCAATAAAACAGAATGTATTGTACAAGAATACGCGGTTAAACTCGAGTATTTGAATCAATCGACATCGTTCAGACGTAGAAACGATCTTCGTAATTTTCTTTGCAGTCTAGCAGATGGTTCAGGCATTCCTTGAACTCGTCCTCCTCGAAGCCAGACTCTGTGAACGCGTGGAATTTTTTTATGGTCCTTATTCTGGCCACTTGGTCGTGCAAGGATTCGTACATTGTCGAGAGGCTACTTCCGGTGTGCACACCAGCCATTACAGGAACAGACTTGACACCTGTGAATAGATATTGATAGAATGAGACTTGGAAGGGAATTTAACAGAGTATCAAAATTATTATTAACGCACCTGATCCTGCAGGCCATCCAATGATGTCTCCAGTTTCAGTAACGTCGTTGTTGAAGATTTTTGGGTACGGATCCTTTATCTTCAGTGGTGACGAAGTGGTTGACAAGTAGGTCGCTGATGCATGGCAGGTACAAGCCAAATAAAGCATCATCATTTCGTGTACGCTGGAGCATCTGTATGCAGGCTTTGCCATTTGCTTCATTGCGTGGGAAGAGGGTCGTTTCAATCTCTCTTCAGGAACGCCCCGTAACGCTACACTTTGCATATTTTTGTCCATTGGTATATCACAACTTGGTGTCAAACTTGTCCACAATGTTCCTGTGAAGTCGTCCAGCACGTCGATCAAATCCATTTTTTCAATCATTGGGAAGGGCAAGGATAGACTCGTCGCCGCTGCTTTTCTGCCTAGTTTATTTAGATCCGCGCACAAGTCGGATAGAACGACGTTTGGATACTCTTTGCGTCTATACCTTATGGTTAACGTGTCCAGAGCAGTTGCTAGAAGCGCGCTGCTGTGATACTTTAAGTCAGAATTGTATGTCAAATGACCGAATACTCGTGAATCCCCGACTGTAGATGAGACTGTTTGGCTACAAGAAAGTGGACTGTACAACGAAGAGTATTCTCCTATGTGTTGCCAACACAGAGCCATGTTTAGAGCTTTAGTCAAATCGGATTTAGAGGGTTCGGTCTTCTTACTGTCCATACATGGGAACGATAGTATGCTTTTCTTATATTCGTCTTGTAAATATTGTATACAGGATGCACCGAGCCCAGCAAAACCATCCACAGAGTCTAGAAGTACCTAACATTTTTAAATACTATCATTATTAGAAAACAATACTATGCAATAGAACACGTACCTGAAAACCTTGCATAGAATCACACTCTTCGACGTAGCTTCTTATTCTTTCAGAAAAATCCTCGGAAAATTGTTTAGTATTCCATAGGCTCTGTCCATATGTAAAAGTATCAAATGCATTCGTTGCACAATCGTGTTTATACTGTTTAATTATGTTCAGTGTCCTGGGATGAAATCTGGGCACAAGGTAATCCACCCACGAATTAACATCATCTTCTAAATTAAAAGACGTCGATTCGGAAGTTTCATTGGGCTCGTCTAAACTTTTAATAAACGGAGTTGCAGCAGCTGTTTCTTCCTCCGTAACTTCCACTTTTTTGTCGTCCCACAGGGGCTCTGTTTTTACGTGTTGCGAAATATCGTACAAAGTACCTTCCTCTTTCAAATATCCAGTCGCTCCTTTTAAATCGACGAGTAGAAGTCTGGGAGTATAAGTGATTTGTTTCTAGAAAAGCATAATTCAGATGTATGTCTTAACAAATCGTAAATGTTACGTTATAATTATACCTTATAGTTTTCTCCTTCTCTGTAAAAAACATTGTGATTTATCTCGGATGGACTATGGGGGTCGTAAGAGAAATTAGATTCCTGAAAACATGAGAAACGTACAAATTAACGTAATGTATTTCCATAATCTTTCACACGTACATTTATTATTAAATACCTGTAAGTTCCACCAATGAGTTCCGATGTAATTGGAATAATGACCAAACTGTATAGTTAATATTTCTCGTGACGTCATCCTGTTTTACTGATTAAGTATAAACCGACATAAACAGTTCTTAGTTTCAAGTTAAATTACAAACTGTTTTGCACAAATTCATTCGTTTTATCAATGATTTTTAAAACGTTACAATAAGTGACGTTAAGCATTTAAGTCACTATTTTTTTGTATTAGAGGATTGATACTGGATTAGTAATGAGGAAGAGTAACCTAACTAATGTTTGTATTTACGAGTTCTTTACATGCATCTTATTTATTTGGAAAGGCTCACGAATCACGATCGCCTTCTTTTCATCGTTACGGCTGGATTCAGACGAGCGACTTTTTCCATTGTGGAAAACAGTTTTCATTGTCTGTTTTCGATAGTCTTCGTTGTTTTAATCGTAAAACAAGAAAAGACACGGATTCTCTGCGTGTTCGTGACCCTGTAACGGGAAAAGTCGCTTGTTTGCATCCAGTATTCCTGTTGCATCGCTACTAGGATCTCCCTAGCAGTGATGGACTCTCCCTAGCAGTGATGGACTCTCCCTCGCGGGATTCCTTTCTGCGCATGCGCAAGCGACGTCACAGCTACACGTCGTCCGCTACCACAGTCGTATCTTGAGCGCGAGAGGAGGCGCATGTAAGGGGTTTGGGAATTCCAACATTTTTCGTTTTAAGTCGATTAAAACATATGAAATTAATTTGTTTTAAATGTATTCAGTTAATATTATATAATATAATTTTATATTTGTGTGTTTCTCGTTCATTTCTACACACATTTTTAAATTCATCGTACACTAACAAAACAAAACAATATTTCGAAGTGTTTTGAAATACTTTCTTGGCAATGTTACAATTAAATAAGGAAAAACAATCGAGGTATCAGCAATTTTAATTTATATACACATGTATTTACACAAGTTTCAAATCGAGTGATCGGTACAATAATAATTTACTTATTGCTTGTAGGCAGAGTGTAAATTTTATAATCTTGACAGACATTTACTTGAAAATAAATTTATAGCGTTTATGTACATTTAAGAACTTTTACCCAATGCATGGTTTATCGCAGACATTTCTTTATGAGACATAGGTTGCAACATCAAACCCGGAACATGTGGATTTAGTTCCAAGTCTCGTAATTCATTCACTTTGACTTTTAAATCGCTTCTCAACTTGTTGATCTCAATGTCACATTCTCTTTGATCTGCAATATAATGAAAAATTTAGTATCCATGGCATCAGATGGCCGAACACCCTCTGTACAAATAAAACATTCGCATACAACCTTTCGCAAGTAATTCTTCCGCTGTTTTGGACGGCATCTTAAGCAAAAGTGGTCCAACACTTATCCAAGCATTCTTGCATGTTTCTTTCTGCAGCGCTCTCATTCCGACTCTGTCGTTGTTTCTTCTTTTGTCCAAAGCAACTACTTCTTGACGGCTCATGAGAATCTCCCCTGCCTTCTCTTCTACCTGTTGTATATGTTTTAATGCCATCTGCTGATCAAACTTCATCTGCAACAATAACTACAATCAATAGTTCAAAAACTGCTTTAGCAGTAAAATGTTTGTTTTTTTACATAAATATAGATAACTTACACACTTAAGATAGATAACGAATGTAAAATTACATTGCATTAAATCTCTACAGGAAACTCTGATATTATTTATAAAAATGTCGAACACCATTTTAAGACAAAGCAACGCGTAATGTTCTTTCTTTCCTATGTTCTCTATTTAATAATTTTTCCCTGTCTTTCTTTTTAAGGCATTTCTGTTTAGGTATTTTCATATCGTTAACTGCCGCGATATCTCCGGGTCTAAAGTGAGTCACTCTATATTCGTTTTCACTCGGCTGGCCTATTCCCTTTCTATCAATTTTTAAGCACGTTTTTATAGGATATTTTATTCCTTTCCCCGAGGGGCCCAGACCACCCTGCTCGTCCCATCCGGTGCTCAAAAGCATTTGATAACCTTTATTCTGTTTCGTTATTCCGTACATAGCGTTCGATAGCTTTGGCTTTGTATTAAAAATATGAAGCGTGGATGTTTCGTGCTTCTTCCAAGACGTTTGATAAAAGTTAACTTTGCAAATTTTACAGTAAAACCCTGTAACTTCCATCAGCTGTTCCATATTATTGCTATTTTTATACATCGTTCCGCTGTAATTTTTCAAAGGTTCTATCAACTCCGATCTCGTATGCAGTACAGTATCGTTATTTATTCTCGACTTATCTATACTCATTTCCGATGAAATTTTACTAGCTTTAGATTCAGTTTTCCTTTTAAGCAAAGCAACTATGTTTAAATAATTTTTCTTTAAAGCTAGTTGCGCAGCTGTGAGCCCAGATTTTTCTCTAGCTCTCTTGTTAGCTCCGAGGCTCAATAAAAATTTTATAATATCTAAATGGCCGCAGTACGCAGCTGACATCAGCGGTGTCCAACCGAAATCATCCGTTACATTAACATTTTCCTGCGTTACGTGTTTCAATAAATATTTCAAATCCTTTTGCTCCACCGCTTTCAGTATGGAATTTACTGTGACTTTTTCTTCAATTTTTCCAACTGGTTTCTGTGTTATATTATTTTCAGTTCTACAACGCCTCCGTCTTTCCAATTGCAAATTCCCGTTGCTTTCTTCGTTTATAATTTCCTCGTAAGCCTCTTTCGCCTCGTTTTCTCGAAATCCTAATCGATATTCTTTCGTTTCCGTTGATATGTCTGGAACGTCGCAAGACTCTCGAACGAACGTTTTCCATGTCATATCGATATTACGCGCGAAAAAATTGCTTTGTTTTAACATGTTCTCTATTTTACGTAAAAATTTTTATTTATATGAAATTAGATTTTATGGTGGTGTATACACATTTACGGGCCGTCAACTAACTAGAAGGATCATTTGTTTTAAGATTTTAATGGTCTCTCCCCTTTTCATCTTTTTAAATATTACATTAATATGTTATTGAACAAATTATTACTGTCTTTTAACGCAATACAACAATTACCTTTGCGACAATTGCCGTTTTATCGTACCAGTCTTATTCGCGTCACGTAATCACGTTGAATGCGCTTGTAGGGGACACTAGAGACATTTCCCTAGCTCCCAGGGAAAGTCCCTAGATGGAGTTGGCGTGGCAGCCGTGTAGAGCGCCACGCTACGACAGTCGGAATAAAGCTCTGAGACAAGGAACACGTGTCGTACTGATATTCCCGTTATCCCTACGCATCCCTATACGCTTATCGTAAACGTATGAAACATAAAACTCACTAGATTTTTCTAAATGAAACGAATACGCAATGCATGTACAAGTGTGATTCAAATGTGTGTTGTATATATTATATGATTGTAGTGCATCGTTTTAGAATTCCACAGTTCTGTTAATATTGTTATTTTTGATAAAAAAAGATTGTTTTGATCTAGTTTTAATTTTGATCAAGTTGGTACTACTTTAAATTTTACATCGCTTCTCCAATGTTCGTTCCTTTTCATCGCCATGGTGACTCGATTGTAGGTTATGTTACGAGCTCTTGAGATCACATGGTCGTACGGTCGCATAGTTTGCCCGATACACGAAATTTTTTAGTTTATAATATAGAAATATTACGGCGTATCGTACAAAATAGCTTTCAATTAAAGTTAAGAAAAGAATAAGTATGCAAACTGTGACAAAGATAGGAATTGGATGGTAGGTATGTAGTAATAAACCATTTATGGTTACAATGTTTCACATTACGTTTTTCTTTAAGGTTAGCTTTTCGTATAGCGATATTTGACCAAGTAACTTTTGCATAATAGTAAACAATATTTAAGTTTCTTTATTTATCATCGGTTTTTGGCAAACTCTGTTCGTGATTAACGAATACAATTATTAAATTCACATTTTTTAAATTTTTCCATCGATATTCAGACAAGATCAACGAGTGAATTTAACATTTGTGTTTGTTATTCATAATATTAGTTCTTACTCATGAATAACAATTCTTTTCGCAGGACTGTAACCGCTGCAATAGGCATATATTGTTTTATACTTTCCAAACAAAACGTAATTGCGAAAAGATATGACAATATGAAAGCAAGAGAGCATATTCGTAATGCAAATATTGTGGATTAAAGGATTTCTTTAAGGATTTAAATATTGTAAAATATTAAGGAATTTGACTAAAAATGGCTGCGTTTATTCAACTCAACGAAAATCAATTAAAAATGGTACAAGAATTAGAAATGGAGATGATGTCCGATATGTATACTCGTATGACATCAGCGTGTCATAGAAAATGTATACCGCCAAAGTATCTGGAATCTGAATTAACCAAAGGGGAATCGATATGTCTCGATCGTTGTGTCTCCAAGTATCTGGATGTTCACGAACGTATCGGGATGAAGTTCACTCAGATCTCTATGCAGGCAGATAACTTTATGAAAGATAAAGATGCGGAACAAAAATAAAATAAAGTATCGTTTTCTTAAAGGAAGTTAGTATAAATTTTATTTCTGTGCATTTAATAGTTTCTGTTTCTTTAGGTGATTATGGTTGAAAATATCGACGATTCAACGGTAATGTCATATTTTCAATAAATTATTTCTGTAGTTTGTACCGAGTAGACCAAACTATAATAAAAATTGTTCTGTATTTAGCTATAAAGCTGCGAATAAAACGTTATTAAGTATTATTAATAATTTATTCAAAAGTGATATTCGAAAGTTTTTCGTTGGTGTTTAAAATTTAATCAAAAATATGCTGATCGATACGAATGAAGCAACGAAATGATTTTTGTAGAAAATATATAATTCACATGTAGAAAAATGTTTATTAATATATTAATCATTACAAGCACAATGGTGTCATTTTTGGTTGCACAACAAATTATGTACAGATTTAATTATCTTGTATGAATCTCAAAATTACAGTACATCATGAAAAATATCTTTAATTACACTTTCTCCTTTCGATGGAAGTTTTTGTGCAAGGAGAATTTAAGGTCGAATTGATTTCTTTCGTTGTCCAAATTTCTATCACATAGAGACACTTTAATTTTAATGAATCGTTTCATTAACCAGCAGTTTCTTCTTTTACCGGATGGGTTGTCGCTAATGCTAACGTATGTTGTCCTCCGCCCGCCACCCGTATTATTGTCTTTCCTTCCAGTTGTTTACCTTTTACTAACACAGGCTCTTCGACATCTTCTTCCTCTCCCGTACCCAGTTGTCCACTTGATCCCATGCCCCACGAATATAGACTTCCTGTGCAATAGAAAATAACTTATATCTTCCACGAAACAAAGCACGGTAATCTCTTAACAGTGTAAAAAACAAACCAGATTCGGTAACAGCGAAAGATTGAGCACTTCCGGCCGCGACGTCGACGCATTTGAACGAACTCAAGACCGGAACTGCTGTCAATTCTTTCGCATCTAAGCAATTAGATCCAAGCCCGAGACGGCCGTATTCTTTACGACCCAAAACGAACACTTTGCCAGAATCATCTAAGGCGATAGTATGATGCTGTCCGCTACTGATGTGTCTCCAAATTTTTCCACTAAACGTTTTTGATATTCGAGGATGAAACTGAGTCACGGGGTCCTTTAAACCTAAAAATTATCTCGTACAGAATACTTCACTAATTTTAGTATTCTCTTAATATAGCGACTATACCATGTACTAACCAATTTGATAATAATTATTTAAACCAAACACGTATATATCTCCTGTGTGATATTCCTTAGCAAATGTACAATAAGTTCCAGCCCAGATATCACCAAATTCTAACTTCTTTGTAATTTTGAATTCGACTAGACCCGGGGATAACAATGGACCCATACCATGACGGGTATTTCTATTAGCAGCCCTAGCTGCCACTCGTCCTAACTGACCTTGTTCTCCGCATCCACACGTGTAAACGTGCCCATTCTCGTTAAGTAACACTAAGTGATCTGCACCGGACGCTATTTTGATTATCTTTACATTAGGCAGTATCTCTATCGGGAACCGTTCGTTCCCTTTCAACGTCAAACCCATAGTACCGTGTGAATCCTTAAAAACACGTTTGAATTTTACATAAATTTTCTTTTCTAGATGAAACTGTATAATCGACGAAATGTTAGTAAATGCGATACCCTGAAGGAGCCCCATGCAAAGACTCTTCCGTCCTCCAAGAGAGCGGCGCTATGGGAGTCTCCAGCCGTCACCTGAACGACCTTGCCAGGCAGACTGACGGTAGCCGGTTTGGTTTCCGAACCATCTACTGAAGTATCACGTCCTAACGCCCCTTCGTCGTTGCAGCCAAACGTTAATATCTCTCCTGTTTCCCTCAGGCACACGTTATGCATGCCACCGGCTGCTATGGCCACGATATCCTGGTATCCAGGAACAGCTGCCGGTCGTATTTTCTCCACCACCTCGTCTCCTAAACCAAGCTGTCCCACATCGCCTTGTCCAAACACCAATAACACTCCACCCGTCGAGGACTGACGTAAACTCGGTTTTATAACTAAAGGTGAAACGAAAAATTGCATGAAAACGTCTAGCTACCATCCGTTGTTGGTTTCACGGTGAAATGATCGTGGCACGCGTTATATTTCGAAAATTCGTCGCGTCGGTTGCTTAAAATTACAGAAAAATCTACGAACGACACGGTTTCAGTTATCAGTCAAAGGGAAACTATAATCGTATCGATCGTGGAGCCCCGTAAGGCATATGGATGCATCCCAGGGCATCGTGGTGTGTTGCGCTTTCGATAAAAACTTACCTGCAATAGCGAGTTTCGGCAACGTTTAGGCGCGAAAATGTATTAAAATGTTGGAGAAACGTAGGACTTAACGTACGAAATATAATTACTCACTTTGTTTTCTCTTAATCAGCTTCGGCTCCTTTGGGCCTTTCGTAGAACTTTCAGCAGACCGTTTTGTTGCTTTCCTTGGCGGCACTGAAACCATACCGAGGTTATGTTTAAAAATGCCCGTGTTAAACCGTTTTTATGACTGTAACGTGCGAACGAACGATCGTTTTTAATATCGTCGCTCGTCTACGTACTGATTTCTCAACGTAATTGTCACAGAACCGGATTAGAAAACGTCTTGTACACGGAATGCCAGTTGGCGCCAAAAAGTTGCAACGCTGCTAAAGCCCTAAGCGACTGTTGCGCAACTCGCCAGAGGCGCTAACGTCCGGTTTACACGGGGGATCGTCACGTTGATATCTTTGGCTTGTTCTCAATTATTATAGACCCGCGTTTTCGACGTACGAAGTACGGATCCTTGTAACCGGAAATTCTGTACCCTTACTCCTCGTCCCCTGGCAACACGAGTGTTCCCAAATGCAATTAAACGACAAGGTACAACGAATAATGTGTACATAGGTCGAAGCGTTTAAAATATTCTTGCATCGATCTAGTTCGAAGAATATTGTACCTGTTATTATGCACTGACCTTGAATCGACGATAAAGAAAAAAAAGCGTTCCGAGAAGTAGGCAAAGTATAGATAGCTGCGTTGGACGAAAGCTGTGCTACAGGTGGTTTGGGTTAGGCCTTAGGTTATCTGTAATAATCTTTTTTTCATCGTTTGAATACCTCAGAGAGTTTTATGGAGGCTCACAATTTCCTTTTAGTTTTGATAAAGAGTAGAAGTTTTAGTAAATTCGAATTCTTGATTTTCGTCTTATTTTGGCCTGGAGAATCCCCCACCCTGTATATGCAATTTAATTTACCTGATCCTACGACCTTGGAAGATAAATAATTTTGTAATTATTTACTTTTAACGACTCTGAATGTAACTTAGAGTTACACACACGCGATTAGTGTCTCTAATTAGCATACTTCAGGTATGATTTTTTTTAATTGTGCAAGGGAGGTTAAAATAAGACTAATAATACATTTTTGACCATCGAACATAACCAAGTTGGTTTATAAGAAACTTTTTTTTTTTTGAGTTGCATCGAATCGTAGTTTGCGATTAGTTTGATAAATTTTAATAACGCGCGGTATACTTTGTTCCGTATAATACGTGAATAAGAGGGGAACCAGGGAACGATGGGATGTTGCTGGGAAACTTCAGACGTTGCGGTTTAATATCCGCGCGTTTCGACGAGTAAATCATTTGTTGGGCGAGATCCGCTATCGGGGGATAGTAATTCAGATTTTTCGAATCGGGGAAAATTGTGTTCAGTGCCCTGGATAGCCTAATCACTGCTATTGTTATTGTTTTTCATTAGGATGTGAATTAATAGATGTTTGATTTTATAGATAGGGCACAATTTTTAGATATTCTTAGAATATTTAGATGATGCTAAGAATCCATTTTAAGAATTTTAGAACAATAAATATTTCGTAAATTAATAGTTTATTATTGAGGAATTGATTTTGAATCTTATATAGGATTATAGAGGCCAAAATAAGACGAAAATGAAGGATACTAATTTGTTAATTGGGGCTTTGTTAAAAAGTTATAGAAACATTTCCGACCACCCAGTATATTTTCGGTAAAGAATTTTTTTCTCGAAAATGAGTAGGATTTCGAGGGTATGTGTATTGACCAAAAATAGTTGTAGTTGAACTCTGCAACCGAAAATAATTTTTTTAGAACGATTCGAAATTTTTTAATTTCTTCCAAAAATCTGTCCATCTATTCGAATTTTTTTCTCGAAAATGAGTAGAAATTCGAGGGTATATGTTTTGACAAAAAATGATTGTAATTGATCACTGCAAACGAAAATAATTTTTTCAGAATGATTTGAAATTTTTTTTTTCGCCGAAAACTAACACTTGTCGATTTTTCTTAAAAATTAGATTTTCATTTTTAATAAATTTATTTGACGTCATACAGAAATTTTGTTTAGTACTTTTTTGTAAGTGTCTATGAGCTCCAGTTCACAAATAAATTTCAATGAAATACACTCACTATTGTGGGAGTTATGGTCGTTCGAAAATTGATCTAGTTTTATGGGGTTTTTCTCACTTTAAGGGGTTCAGGAACAATTTTCCGGACAATCTCAGAATTTCTACGCATTCTTCACTAAAATACGCGTTGTTTGCATTTTTAAACATTAAAATCCCCCAATCCGTTCAGGAGTTATGAAATTTTAAAGATATGAATGAAATTTCGAGGAACCATTTCTTATGATTTATTAGATTTTCAGTTAGGAATTTTTTTCTCGAAAATGCGTAGGATTTCGAGGGTATGTGTATTCACCAAAAATGCTTGTAAATGGCCCCCACAACTAAAAATAATTTTTCCAGAATGATTTGAAGTTTTTTAATTTTGTCGAAAAATTTCACCCCTTCTCGAATTTTTTTCTCGAAAGTGGATAGGATTTTGGGGGTATCTGTAATGACCAAAAATGATTGTAATTGACCCCCACAACTAAAGATAATTTTTTCAAAACGATTTGAAATTTTTTTTTCGCCGAATTTAGGCACCTGATTAGATTTTCGGTAAGGAATTTTTTTCTCGAAAGTGCGTAGGATTTTGAGGATATGTGTAATGACCAAAAATGATTGTAATTGACCCCCACAACTAAAAATAATTTTTCCAGAACGATTTGAAACTTTTGAATTTAATTGTTAATAACATTTTAACGTAGCCTCTGTCTATTATTATTTTAGTCTTTAGAATCTTCCATTAACATCCTCTACATATATCCATCCTCTTCTCGCCAGCTTGAGAATCAGGAACGTGCCCCAATCAAACACGAAGTCGACCTTCGAATCGATTGGGATCCCGCGGAATCCCGACGACTCGTAAACAACTTTCGGTGCAAAGGACACACGTGTTCAGTCGTTCGTTCGCCGCCATAAATTCATTGGCCTTTTGTCGAGGCGGCGCGTGGCCGCGATTCACGCTAAATCGGAAATTAGCACGCGTAAGGATCGCCGTGGGTGGCTGCAGCGGTCCCTCGTCGGACGATATGCACGCGTGTCCGCGAGATGGGGGGATGGTCGAGCCGGAGGGGTCTGGACGGTTAACAGAGACGCGACTACGCCGTGCGCGCCAGTCGTAGCCGAGACTTTGTCGGCGCAACGTCTCCGCTCCCTCTCTGTCCGCCGTACGCGTTTGATCCGCGTCGATCTATTACTATCGCGTTCGTTCCTCGTGTAACTTTGTTTCCTCGAAACAAAAGACTCTTTCGCTATACGTGGGTTTGTGTTTTTTTACTTGAAGGAACCTCCAAAAGAGAAGAGGACTTGGCGATCCAGGACATTTTCACGGAACAACAGTTCATGTAGAACCCAGGAATCATGACGAGAGCGCGCCGATACCGATTCCTTCCGCTTCTCGTGTACATCCTGCTGGGCGGTGAGTGTAAAAAAATTTGTTTAAAAAAATTTATTCGTTTCTTCGACGATTTTCTCGCGTCGAGACTTGTTGAATCCCGTGGCCTCTCGATCAGCCTGAGTGGCGGACCTTGCACGTGCTCTTTAAGAAACAGGATACTCTCGTCGAAACCGGATATACGGGTTCTCGAAATGTTTCCCTCGCGAACCTCTCTTTTGTTCGAAAGTTTGTTTCGTCCAGAGCAAATGTACGCGTTTCTGTGTACTCCTTTGAAAAATCGAAGGAACGAAAAAAACCTCGATCAATCATCGGGTGTTTCGAGGGGATCCATTCATCCGTCGCTGATAGAATTCCGTGGGAGCCGTGCGTGTCGGACGCTGAGCGGAATTAGTTGCAAAAATCCCAGAATTTTTTTTTTTTTAACGCGGTCTACCAAACCTCGAAAATTGAAATAAGGTGAAAAATCACGGAATCTAGATATTGTATGACGAACTCGGACAAAGGTGGGGGGAAAAACGATAAATAAATCCGGCAACCCAGTTTTCTCGTGATCAATCATCCTGCCGATATTTCGAAGGAAAATCCGCAGGACGAACCGGTTATCCTGGAATCCGATAATCGCAGAAGCTCCCGCGGAATTGCGTTTCGACGATAGAAAACTCGCTTATTGTTTCTTTTCTTTTGGATGGTCGAGATCGACCGAGGTTTTTCGTCGCGCGGATCGGAAACAGTGTTTAATTAGTCGTGTCCGTTGATTTTCGACAAAGCGGCTGGATGGTAGGCGCAGGCCACCGGAAACACCGGTCTCTGTTTATCAATTAGCCGCGATGGCCGCGCATATGCGTTTGCATACCGGCGAAAAGTTCTTTGAACACGCGAATCGATGCTGGGGGCTCGATCCTCTTTGCCGCGACGCGGCTCTTCCGGTGATTCGATGCTCCGGGGGATGGTCGGACCGCACCATCCAGAGTTCTTTGCAATTTGTCCCCGCCGCGCTGATCTGCTGTGGAAACTGGACGAAAATATGAAATAGTGTGTCGGCGAATTTTCTATATTTTTTCGGAAAAAAGAAAATACAGGGTGTTCCGCCACGCCTGGGAAAAATTTTAACGGGAGATTCTGGAGGCCAAAATACGACGAAAATCAAGGATACCAATTTGTTGATGGAGGCTTCGTTGAAAAGTTATTAACGTTTAAAGTTTCGCCAATACTGAATTTTTTTTGAGAAAGTGGGTAGGATTTCGGGGGTAGGTCTATTCACCAAAAATGATTGTAATTGACCCCTGTAACCGAGAATAATTTTTTTAGAACGATTTGAAATTTTTTTTTTTCCGTCGTAAAATTTCTATCTTCTCGAATTTTTTTCTCGAAAGTGGGTAGGATTTTGGGGGTATGACTGTTGACCAAAAATGATTGTATTTGACCCCTGTAACTAAAAATAATTTTTTTAGAAAGATTTGGAATTTTTTTTTTTTTGGCGAAAAATTTAGTGACTTCCCCCTGTTGATTTTTTTAAATATTCGTTTTTGATTTTTAGTAAATTTGTTTGGCACCCTATAGAAAAGTTGTTTCATACTTTTTTGTAGGTACTCATGGGCTCTGTTTTAGAAAAACATTTCAATGTGATAGCTTTACTATTGTAGGAGTTATGGCAGTTTGAAAATTGAACCAGATTTATGGGCTCTCCCTCATTTTGCGATGTCATGGATCAACTTTTTGATAATTTTTGGAATTCCTACATATTCTCCATCAAAATACGCGTTGTTTGCATTTTTAAACTTGAAAATCTTCCAATCCGTTCAGAAGTTATGACGTTTTAAAGAGTCACATGATTTTCAAATTCGCTCAATAATTTCAGGACCTATTCGAAT